TGTATCCAGTATCCTGTATCCTGTATCATGTACCCTGTATCATGTATCCAGTATCCAGTATCATGCACCTAGTATCATGTACCCAGTATTTAGTTTGTATATATGTATGAAGCCAATTTTTTACAGATTGATTCTTGCTGAGGAAGTTTAAACCCTCTTACATGAACTGAACACAAAGGACAATGAATGAAAAATTGAATTTTAATGTGTTTTTTCAACAATGGGATTTTTTTCGAAAATTGTACTGATTTTACAGATTTTTTAAAAAAAATGTACGGATTTTTAAAAAAATGTACGGATTTTAAAAAAAATGTACGGATTGGTTTAAAAAAATGTACGGATTTTTAAAAAAAATTGTACGGATTGCACGGATTTTTTTTGAAAATTGTACGGATTGTACGGATTTCTTCTGAAAATGTACGGATTTTTGTACGGATTTGTTCAAAAAAGTTTTGGCCACCCTGTGATTATGACAATGAAAATGACAATGACAATTATAAGGATACTGATTATGACAATGAGAATAACAATGTCAATTTCACTTTCCTCCGTATTGGGAGGTCCGAATTAATCTTTGATTACATATTACAGGTTCCTGAATATTCTGGTGCTAAAGATAAGGATAAGTCCGAGGACTCTGTGAAAAGTCTACGAACCTACATACTTACAGAACATTCACCCGCATCCATGGAGACAGTCAAGGTATTTTTAGGATAGTGAACCAAAATAATAAACGAATAAATCAATATATATACCAAGATACTTTGCTTGTCTGTCTGTTTGTTCGTCCATTTGTACCAATAAACGTCAAAACAGCTTAACCGATAAGGAAGGTTTATGGATGCTTAGATATAAACAAAGTCGTCTCCAATTTTTGATTTTCGTAAAATTTGGAAAATCCACGAAAACAAAATTGTAAATCGTAAAAAATTTTATTAAAAGGTTGAGCAACAATTAAAAGTTGCGAAGAAAATGGGCGCGAAACGCCCTGATTGCCTCTTATTTAAATAGCAGAACACCTGGATAAAAAAATAGAATTTAAATGTCTATTATCAGTCAATATTCCACGAAGTTGAAAGGTAGATTTCTTGATGATAAATGTAATATAATGATAACGAATTTAGTTTAGTTTCAGGATGAAGTATCCGAGGTTCCAAAAGTGATGAGCAATATATTTTCGCGCGAACAGGTATTTAAATAAAAAGAAAACAAGAGTTTCAAAGAGAGTTGTTGGCTTGGTATGGTGTTTGAACTGTTAGTGCAGTTTTAAAATCGCGTTGGAACTTATGTCCCCTGGAATTTAGACTTGAAACGTTTCGCAACAATCAAAAATAACAGAAACAGATCACTGAATAAAATTACATGTTTGTGATTTGAAGAGTTAAATTTTTTCTTTTTCAATCTGTTCTAAAACAAAAAATTATTTTATACAAGGATTTTTGTTCAGTTTTTAGTCCATATTATTAAATAATTTTTCAATATCGATTCTTGAGTGTAATCCTTCAAAATGAACCATCCTTGTTTTTATAAAGAGCGATTTTGCGCTCTCACATAGCAATTATACACATGAAACCTTGTATACCTATCAAATGAATTCTAAAAATGTTCTCTTAATACTGCTCTCTCAGTTCAACCAGCAAGCCAGTCTGTTCCTCTAAGCAAGATAAAAACTTGCTAATTTAAAGAAAACTATATTTTGAATTTTACAACCTATATCTGAGAAATAAATGTGTATCATTGTTGAGTTCACATTCTTTGTAATAAATGTTAGTAAGTAAGTAAGTAAGTAAGTAATTAAGTAAGTAACTTTATTTGTGATTTATAAGAAAAATATACAAAATTAAGTGCTTCAGAAGAAAATATTCAAAAACCTCAAAAAAAAAGGCTTTGGGAATATTTTCCCCCAACACGAATCGTTAGAAAAGCAATGCTTATATGATATCAATTTCAGCGACAAAAAGGTGGTAAGAGTAATCTTGTAAAAAGTAAGGTAAACTGAAAATTTAACGGAGGTTAAATTTTGCTGTTGTAAATACTGGGATATAAGAGTTGTTTCTATTTGGTGCTGTCCAAAATCTGCAGATTAAATTAATTAATCTAGGATCGATGGTTTCCTCCGGCAGATGTAAACCACCTATTCTAAAATCGAACAGTTGCCATTGTCGATATCTAAGTTAAAAAATGTAGATTTTTGTAGATTGTAGATAAACCCTATTTCATACTTAAGTTTTAACCTCAGAAGAAATTTTATGACTAATATTCCTAAATAAAGGAAAGAAAACGTCCTCTGTCCTCTGGAGAGGACGTTATCCAACCGGCCGTGAAGAAACCTGCTCTACAACCATCACCTAGGAAAACCGAACCAAATGTCCAGGACCAACCTTTATTTGATGATGAGGTAATTCAACTTTTCAAAGTAATACAGAGACTGTCGGCGTAGGTTCAATTGACCCTCCTTTTGTAGAGTGGTGTACTCGATTCTCAACAGTACCCAAACAGTATCCAGTCCACCTTTGACTAGTCTAGACCTCGGACCGGACTTATCTTTATTAATCAACAAAAGAAGTATCAATACTTAGATACTGTCTAAGTATTCGTATAGCGCGGCTTTTTAAATGTTAAATGTTCAAAATATAAAATATTTATCGTTTTGGACATAAAGTAATCTTAAAAGTTTACATTTGAGTTTTAAGAGTTTTTAAAGAATGAATTATCATTTATGAGATTTTGAATATTTTGAGTAAATAATTGTTTTACATTTACATAAAACAAGATCAGTATAAATTCAGGTTCGATATTGTTTCTTCACCTTCTTTTTAGGTCTTGAATCGTCTATAGGGTTAAACTAATCGTCTCCAACCTACACAGTAGAATTTACACCTAGGGTTAAGAATCTTTTCTATATTAGTCTACGCGCTGTTTCATTGCTTTCCCCAAATTTAATCATTATTCTTTAATCTTCAGTTTTGAAAAAGAAAACCATTAAGAATTTTTAGGATGATGATATGTTTGCTTGTCTTGATGATATCGGTGAAAATCAAAAACCTGCTTCAATTATTCAGAAGTCTCCACAAAAATCCAGCTCGAAAGAAGAAGATGACAACATTTTTGGGTTCGGCGTAACAGCCCTTAAAAATCAGAGGCAGCAAATTGTTCCGGAAACCCAGACAATAAACCGGAAACGGAAAGCACCGGGGCCGGAAGATAATTTGTTTGGATTTGGAGAAAGTTCCTTATTGTCGAAGAAAAAAGCTGTTCCTTCAAAGAACGGAGACGACATTTTTGGCTTTGGGTCACCTGAGAAACCCAAAAGAAAAGATGAATTTTCCCAGGCCTCGAAACCCAGTGATAAAACTGAAATAAAATCGAGAGTTGGCCCAGCTGAATCTAAACCAAAGAATTCAGATATGGATCCGAGCTTTGGGAACACTACAACTACCAGCTCGAATTCAACACAGAGTATTTCAAGGCCCAGTCATAATACTACAGGGTTTCTGGGTAAGGTAGGTTTAAGCTTTACACGAAGTAGATTTATATTTAACACTAGCTTAAGCTTTTCTCCTTCCTTTCCCCTTTTTTCTTAAGTTTTTTCCCCTAACTCAATAAAATATACACCCCTACTGAAGTGCCTGGCGTTGCCTGTGAAATTGAAAAAAAAAATTAATTTATAAGAAAAAAATATAAATGTTTTTGCCTATGTTTACCCCATCAGGGTACCCATGTGTTCCCTCTAAAATGTTTAACCAATTCGTTTTAGCCGTTTGGCCAGCTATAGCTAACATATACACACACAAATACACCCATACGTATAAATATATATATATGAGCGAAGAGCTTTATTATATTGATTCAGATGTTTGACGAAGTAAAGAAAAAGGAGAATATATTTAATGTTTCGAGGTTTGACGGAGTATAGAAGGAGCAGAAGATATATTTAATGTTTCGAGGTTTGACGGAGTATAGAAGGAGCAGAAGATATATTTAATGTTTCGAGGTTTGACGGAGTATAGAAGGAGTAGGATATATTTAACGTTTAGAGGTTTAACGGTGTGAAGAAGGAAAGAGTAGAGGATATATTTAATGTTTAGAGGTTTGACGGAGTGAAGAAGGAAAGAGTAGAGGATATATTTAATGTTTAGAGGTTTGAAGGAATTTAGAATAATGAGTAGAGAACATATATAATGTTTAGAGGTTTGAAGACTTTAAAAGTTGTAGAGGATATATTTAACGTTTAGAGGTTTGAATGAGTATATTTAAAGTTTAAACCTCAATCCTTGAAAATATTTTAATTTAGAGGTTTAACGGAGTAAAGAAGGAAGAAGGAGTAGAGGATTTAACAAAAAGTTTCGGCCGAGTAGTCTATGTAAATCTATACAGGAAAACACCATTCAAACCAAGGTATATTTATACTTTAAAACATTATTTTTAGATCCGGCAAGAAAACTTTAATAGTTTCGTTTCTTTCTGACGAAAGTTTTCTTGTGACCTTTCATTTAACAGACAGAATTCCGAATTCTAACTATACCCTTTAAACATAATCATTAAACTTTGCTGTGTGCTGGAATCTGTTTTTCAAAAGAAGTTTGAAAACCCAATGTTCATAAAGAACATAAGAACATAAAACTCCATTCTCAAACTTGGAAGCTGACAGCAAATCCCGACATTTTTAATTTGATTAAATTGATTTCTAGAGACCCTCTATATATAAATTTGGCTTGTCTGTCTGTTTGTCTGTTTGTTTGTATCCAATAAACGTCAAAACGGCTGAACCGATCGGGCCCAAATTTTTTGATGGACATCACGTGACCACAGGAAAGGTTTACGAATGATAAAAATTTTTAAAAAATGTGTTTAAAAAGTTTTTAATTTTGTAAAAAAATAAATTCGTGAAAATCCGCGAATTTTTTTTTTTAAATCCGCGAAATTTTTTTCTTTGTTTTAAAATGTAAACAAAAAGAACATGTTCACAATTTAAATAGAAGATGGGCGCGAAGCGCCCTAAAAGCCTAGTTACTTAAAAAGGAGATATCAAAAATTGTAACGATACCCTTAAAACTTTAAGTTAAACAAAAACGATATAGAAGATATTCTTGGTCTCTATCTAAAAATTTATAATTTCCTAATAAACGATCTCTGTACAATTCGGGATAACTCAAAGTAGAGATAAAAAACCAAAGTTTAAGAATTAAAGACTTGTTTTGAAGGAAATAAGACTATATTATCTTTATTGTTTCTTATATATATAGGTTTACAGGGTACCGTTGTGAATCGAGTTTAGAAATTTATATAAGAGTCACGTCGACCACCCTTTAAAACCATTAGTAAAAGATGTAAATGATTCTACTTAACAATTAGTTCCGTATTACAAATTACTTTTAATATTTATCTTGCTTTTTAAGGGTTGTTGAAGATGTGGCTAGTCCGAGTGGGAAACCGGTTTTAAACTTTAAAACATTTAAAAAACAGGTTAAAAATAAAACCGTAAAAATTGTGGTTCTTATAACGAGCTTTTTTCGTCGATTTTTTGGCATAATATTATGAATATTGCGTTTGCGATACATCAGAAATATTTATAAAATAATAAAAAGTTCGATGATTATAAATGTTAAAAATGAAGACAGGAATCGAGTCCTCAAATTCCAATTTTCTAATCCCTATATATCTTTGCAACCCAATGTTGAAGTCCTTAGATAATTCTAACTATGAATTCTGTTAGATCAAATAATCTAAGTTTGAATTATCAAAGGTTAACACCATTAGGTTGTAAAGATAAAGGGATTAGAACATTTTTTGGCGTAAACTCAATTCCTTTCTCTACGTTTAAAATAAGATTTAAGTTAAAGTTTACTTGGGTTTTAACATTTCATAGAAACTTGTTAAACTTAAGTTGAATTGTAAAGAAAATTAGCCAATACTTTTATCAAAATAAAAGAGTAATAAACATATTTTCAGCAAATTGTAAAATCTTGTCAAAAAGTGAAGCTTACCCCATACAAGGTAAGAAAAATAAAAAAATCGAAATATTTCTTGAAAATTTCATTGTTGGTTCAGAAGAAATGTATAATCTAAGGCTTGCCGAGATGAGACCCGTCTAGATGAGTGGATGCAAAATAATTCCTTGATATATCAATCCATGCACGATAAAGAGGTTTGTAAAAAAAGATGTAAATTTTCGGAATATTTTTAAAAGAAATTTTAAAATTTATATTTTTGAGATGAAACAAGCTCTGTCCTTGTTTAGAAAGAGAAAGAATCTACTGAAGATTTCTGGAACTTCCAATCCCAGACACAAGCTGGGAACCGGTCAACCGGACCAACTAGTAGAGGGAGGAGAAGATAGAATCCTGGTTTTGTACAGTGGTAATCAAAAAACAGTGGACAGATTGTCGACTTCTTTTTTCTGTTTTTTGTCGCTTAGAATTTGTAATTTGTAAATGAGTAGTAATTCATTTATAAAATTCACAGTTTTAATACTGTATTGTACTTAGTACTGTACTGTACTGTACTGTACTCAGTACTTTACTGTACTTTACGGGTGGTTCTCAGGGGTACTAGAAACCTGGAGAAACTGGTTCCCTGGTGTCATGTCCAACGACACACCTTGTGCTATAAATGAATGTTTAAAGAATACTGTTTCCCACAGACTGGCACCATTTTTCAATTAATTTTTAAACAACTGTTCAGTTTTCCGCTGTAAAATACTTAGCAGTGATCAAGTATAATTTGCAATGAACAACTAAATAGAGAAAATTACATTTGTGATAATTGTTAGAATTTATATTCAATGTGATTTTATTGATCTGTATCTTTTCATTTAAAAAATTGTTCAGCTAAAAGATGTTTTTTAGTATTTTAGAAGATATTAGTCATATAGTCGAAAAAGATTTTTGCGAGAAAAATGAAATTTTAAAAAATGCGACAGAAGAAACATAGGAAAAATAGGAAATCCTCAAAAGCAACGCAGAAGAACGTGAAAATACGCGAGATGGTTCAATGAAGAATTTGAAGAAAAAAACATACTAAATTAACCAAAGCCTCTCTGAATAGAAATATTTAAAAACGAATAGAGATACTAAACAACTAATACAATTTCTGAAACCATTAAACCAATCAGTTATAAGAGTAAAAGTGACTCAGACAAATTTAATTCAGATAATTGTTTTTAGCTCCTAGAGTTAGGTTTAAATCCACAGAATAAGAAAGCTCATTTCTTCCATTTTAAAACTTTTCTTCTACATCTTAAGTAAAAAAAGTAGAGGGGGATGTTGTCCGAAATAAAACTGTGCGTGGAGATATCCAGCTTAAATCACATTGAGAAAAAATTACCCTTTCCAGGGAATCCAGAGGGTATGCACCTAATCGTTAACACTTTTTTAACACTGATATTTAACCTCTTACCCCCCCCCCCTACCTAGCTCGGACCGGAGGAGAATTTAAGGGATTTAATGTTGACAATAAAACGAACTTTCACAAATCCGATGCATTTAAATGCATTTTGTAAATTAAAACCTGATAATGCAAGCGTACACAACACAGCTGCATGCAGCTATAGTGAGTAATAAATAACATTTGTAGTTTAATAAACTAAACTAATAGAACTTTTGATAACATGATAATTTACAGTGAGAACCAGAAAAATCTAGAATAGGAAGACGACTTGCAGACGCAAGTTATGATTTTTATTAGTCTTCTGAACACGTGACAACGATTTTGTGAAGCGAACAGACCCATTTAATTGAATAAGTAATTCAAAAGTTTTAATTATACTTGTTTCTGTACTAATTACATTTAAATATTACTTTAATGTCGTCTTCATATTCCACAGTATTCTGTGCCTCACTAAACTATTGAAAATTGATTTTTTGGGACATTTAATTTTTAGAATTTATCTTTGGGTCGAGATTTTTTAGATACGGACTAATGTTTTGAACTGTTAAGTTGTTGCATATATTTCTATGTATTTTTCTGTACAATACGCGTGTTTACAGAGATGTACATCGAGCTCAAAAATATCACGCGGCCCGCGTGACAACTAGTAAAATGCATCTCCCAGGGGCGTATTGGAGGTTAAGCCTAGATTATTTTAAGTTACAAACCAGGTTGTTGTTCATGTTCACCCCAAAAAAACCGGTTTAGAAAAAAAAATAGATGTGAGTCTGATTAATGTCAATTATTGAAAGACTTTAGGAAGATATCATAAAATGGACAAATTGTTAATTGTTGAGAAACCGAATTATATATAATTTTAATATTTTAGGGTAAGGGGGGCCGGGGGCTCTCGACCCCCCCCCCCCTCCCCGATGCCCCTGGCTTCTCTGTTCACGCTGGAATTAGACAAAATCTACGTGTAAAAGTTGTCTTGTTTATTTGCTGATGAACATTTTCAAAGATGCAGAGAGTACCTAAGAGGTTTCAAATTTCGCAGTGCATTTGCGTAGTTATGCCTGATTGTGTAAACACGCTGTTCTGCCTCAGCTTGTAGTCAAAGCATTTGTTAAAAATTCAAGTTCTCTTATTGGCGGGTTCAGCAGGGAATTGGCGGCAAAGTTTTCACTGTCTTAGGTGCCTTGGCGGGTATGATAAATCCAAGATGGCTGCTAGGACGTGGCCTCGCTGTTTGGTTAAGCGCCGGAACAGAACAAGATGCCGGTCTAGGGCGCGTACTGTACGGTCTAGCTCTTACCGGGTGCCGGCGCGCAGTTCACCAACAAATCCACTGCTAGACACACTACCCTTTAAAGTTTTCAGATCTGTGATTTCATTCTAGAAAATCTGCGAGTTTTCCTTAGGAAAAGTTCTCTTGAAGAAATATAATTATGAAGTTGAAGTAAAATTGAATGTGGAGGTTCACAACTAAGAAGCTGATATTAGGAGGTGAGTCACTTTTTTCAAGGGAATAAAAATAGACAGTATTATTACGCAAAGCCTTTAAAATAATTGATGTAGTGCTCTAAAACATCTTGGAAAGTAGCTCTGCCCAAAGGAAATTTCCTTGCTTATACTCAACATCTTAGCGCAATTACGACACCTCCACTCCAAATTTTACATAACCCCTCTTTACATTCTACATAATTTGTTTGCGTTTACCCAAAAGTATCATAGGTCTAGTAGGTGTAGGTGCCGCGGGGGGGGGAGGAGGTTCTGGTGATTTATAAAAAAATACATCTAGAAAATAAATCTTACCCTTCAATGTAGATCTTTACAGGACATTAAATCCTTGATAAAAACATCTGTATGAGCTGAAATTAAGATTTGTAATTCTGAGGAATGATTTACGATTTAATAATTAAACAAATTCATCTGAATATTAAGTCCGAGATAATAAAAAAATTAAATTCAAGCGTCGACAAAAGTATTTAGATATAGACTTCTGTTTGGCTTGGCTTTTTTGTTTTCAATAAACGTAAAAACGGCCGAACCAATTGGGACAAAGTTTGTGTGGAACCTCACATACAGAAAAATACGTTTTTGTTATTCTTGTTTGAAAATCCACCAATGCAAACAGACATTTGTTTTTGCTTCGTGTTGCTACGTCTTGATAAGAAGCATTTTAAACCAAAATAGATCATAGAAAAAAAAAATTAAGCACCCTAAACGTCAAGCATTTTATAGCTTTTTTATCAATGATCCCAGGGATGGTTATGGCTGGTTAAGATTATAAAATATGCCTTTCTTTGACTTGATGTTCACCATAACCAGAGAGGAGTACGCAGGGTGTTGATTGTGATTGGGGGCTCTGCCCCCACCCCTGCCTTGATCAGTGAAATCCATGGTTTAGGAGTTTTCATGACCCAACAGTTGCTGGGCCCCCCCCCCCCCCCTAGACAGAACAAAACAATTTAAGCCACTCCGTGGACCAATTTCTGGGTACGCCCCTAACCGCAATTTCTTCCTTTATTACCCTTTCTTTGCCCTTTTTAAAAAGATTATCTCTTCTAGAAAAAAGTTTAAAAATTTAATTTTAGTTCCACATTTTATTGAAAATATATTTCGGTTTGGGGAGTTTAGGTTGACCCTCGTCAGTTCTTGAGATTATTTCTGTCCGTAAGATTCAAAACAATTCTCTTATCTACATTGTAATAATGTTTATCCCCACTAGCTTGGTCTTAAATTACGATTTTAGCTATTTTTCCCTGTAAGCTCACTCATTCCAGTGGTTCTCCCGAGTTCCCCAATAAAAATTTGATGCAAATCAGTCCAGGAGTGCGGGGCAACCTATATTCAGCGATGAATCACAATTCACTATGTCGGGTCACAAAAAAATGGTTTATTCGTTTATTTGTTGGAAACGAATTGATAATTTCTAATAACATAATGTTTTTACGCTCTAATATTCAGAATTCTACGCAGGGAAGAAAATTGAAAAAAATCAGAGAGACTTTTTCAGTTTTTCGGTTTTCAAACTATACCTTACAAAAACTAAGATGACTTAAATTCCATATTATATTTATGCTTCTTTTCAATACCTGTCATGATCTTACTCTACTCCTGTAATTTTTATTATGATTTAAATCTCGCAGAATTTTTACCATCATGTCCATTGTATAGAAATAATATGGTTCGTTATGAAAAGGGATATTTTCTTATGCCTACCCCCAATAAACACACAAACAAAATGTGAGTGTTCAGCATGCACTAGCTTCTGAACTGCTAATTTAAGCAAACTATTTTAATTAGGGGCGGGGCGGGGTGGGCAGCGACGTCAAATATTTATCTACAACTATAATAAAGCTCCTCCTTCATATATATTTTTATGTTAGCTATAGCTGGCCAAACGGCTGGACCGAATGGGCTGACATTTTTTTAAGGAACCCATGGTTGCCCGGGGAGTGACATTCTTCAAAATTTATAATTTTTTCCCACGTGCAACGCAGTGCACTTCAGCTAGTTAACAAATATTTTATATTATTATGGAATTTAAGGTTCCCTTTTTTTAAATTCTCAATTTTTATTATTATTAAAGATTTATTCACACATATTTAATATACATACATATATTATATTTTTACATACATATCAGATTTCTAGGCTAAGTCATCTGGGAACAAAAATATAATCATATTTTTGAAAAATTTTATGTGTTGAAATAAAATAATGTGAATTTGTTTAAAAATTTAAGAATATTTAACAATTTGTCATTTGATTTAATTGTTTCCCATGACTTACTTATTTACATTAAACACATTTTTCATCCTGCTAAATTATAATTTTAAAACAATTTTAACTGAGATTAAGAAAATGGCTCCCTCCCCCCTTGCCCTTCCCAAGCTTGTTCTTTTACATCAATTATTTCCCGAAATTGCACTTTGCACCATGGTGTATGCCTCCAGTTGTATAACATTGTAAAATGCATATTGCTTGTAGATATATATACATACAATCTGTGTATTGTGTAGCTGTGCAGTGTACAAATTGTATATCTATTAGAATGATCCTAATGTATAATAATAATTCTTAACAGTTTTCCCTGATTATCAAAATACAGACAAAATTAATTCAATCTCAAATTTTATTAACTCTAAATTGTATTACTTATCAGATATTTACTTGTAATTGTATCTATTTAACATATAAAAATATATGTAGATTTATGTATCTATTTATATCTATTTACTTGTAATTGTATCTATTTAACATATAAAAATATATGTAGATCTATGTATCTATTTAAATCTATTGCATTTCGCTTTTTTATTTTCTCAAATTCATAATTCGAACTAAAAGTATTTTTTTTCTAAAGTGGAAAGAATTTTTCAGGCAATTTATTTTGCCAAGGGATGCATTTGAATTCATAGTTTAATCTGTTGCATAAAGCAACACGGAGATCCAGAATGATAAGTTGGATAGATTATAAAGTGTCGCAACGCCTTGTCCTTAGATTTTACGACTCAAACTCTCTCATACTGTTTTGTAGCCTGTAGACTTTTGCATTTAAAAACTATACAAAATTGTATTCAATAAGTAATAGGAAAAATTCTTACAGATATTATCGCGAGAACATGAAACCTTTGGACCAGTGCACAGTGTGTATTAAAACATCGAAAGTCCGCGAATTGTTTCTTAATTTATCGAGTCTCACGATCCACAGTCACATATGTTTCAGAAAGAAAATATTTGTTTTAAAACTTGGGATCGTTTTTATTATCTCTTAATCTCCTCTCACCTCCAGTTTATATCTGTAATTCTCGTTTCTTTTAAACATTGCTTTTGAAATCTTGTTTTCCGTGTCTTCCCTCATTCCAATCCCATCTCCTCAATAAACTCCTGTAATCCTCTCTCACAAGGAGGGGGGGGGGGAGTGCAGAAGTAAATAAACGCCACCCAAACGTGTTTTGCGGCATGCGCGCTCCTCAATTGGTATTCAGAAATAAAAAATTTATGGTGTACAATATTGTTAAAGCTTTCTTTGTTGCTCCTCTGTTTCGAAAATAAATCTTAAGTACGTCACATGAAGTGCTAGAAAAAAATTACAAATCTTGGATCCAATTCGCTGATTTAATGACTGCATTTCATGATTGGAGTTAAGATACTAAAAGGTCGGGCTGCCTGTTTACTAAAAATTATCTCACCCCACCCAAAGTAATATCTATCTCCATTTAAAAGATATTTTCAAAAAACCTTTACAATGTTTAGATTTTAGTATTCGCCTACTCGAGTTCAACATCTACAACAAAACTATTTACATGCATAGATGATAGAAAGATCAAAACATTTAGAAAAAATCGTCTCATCGCGCCCACTAGTGAAAATGAAGTATTAAGTTGAAGTATTTCTAGCGCTTCATTGCTAATTGAGCCGTGCGCATGCGCAAAGGTTCAAAAACGTAATTTTATTTCTAGCGCTTCATGTGGCATATTTAAAGATTTATTTTTGAAACTAAGGTGTGCAATAAAGAAATCTTTAAGAATATTGTACACCATAGGGCCAATAACAAAGGTCAATATTGTATTATTTCTAAGAAATAAACGGTTTAATATTAACTTTGTCATTTCTGATTACCAATTGAGGAGCGCGCATGCCGCAAAGCACGTTTGGGTGTCATTTGTTAACTTATGCACTCCCCCTCCCCTCACCTCGTCTAAACTAAGCAAGCATTCCATACTCCATAGTGTGACGGAGAATTAGTAATTACCCTTGCTACACTTATATCAATACAGGGGCCAATACCTCGAATTACCTTTACACCCATACACAATTTTTAACTTAGGTCTTAGATACTCACAAAGAAAAATAACCTATAACATCATAAAATATGGATTTATTCAAGTCTGCCTTCAATTTAGTCTGTTAATTAATAATTTATGTTTGACCGAAAGAAACAAGTTTAAATTTTATTTAACCAAAAATGTGAGGAAATGGCCATAAATGAGGAACTGAGATTTTGTCACAAATTCTAATTTAATTATTTCAAACTATTAATTCTGGTAGATCAAATAGTATTAGTTTGAATGAAATATGGGTCTGTCCTAGTATACGATTTTTGGATTATACTAGGAAATTACCTGAAATATAAAGGGCTTACAACATCAGGTTGCAAAGATTTAGGGATCAGAAAATTTCTTTTTTTAAGATAAAGCCACGGATCTCTATTTTCGAGTTTTATTTTAGTTACAAGGATGAAAGTTACTTTTCCATTATTAAAACAGTTAACCGGTAATGTTACATCGTCTATACGCAATATCCCCCCTACTGAACTTCCGACCTACTGATTTTCCGACCTACTGCAATATCGGACCTACGCCAGCTGTTTATTTTTGTATTATTTGATGGCTAGGTTAGGTTAAGACAATTTCTGGGCCGAGCGCTGCGGCTAGGACAGGCTAGGGGGCCGAGCGCTGCGGCCACGGGTTAGGTTAGTTAAGACAATTTCTGGG